TCTGAAGTTTGCTAGAGTGCATTTGGATGATCCAGAAGAGGATTGGGAGAACGTCATATGGTCAGATGAAACCAAAATATAACTTTTTGCTAAAAACTCAACTCATCGTGTTTGGAGGACAAAGAATGCTGAGTTGCATCCAAAGAACACCATACCTACTGTGAAGCATGGGGTGGAAACATCATGCTTTGGGGCTGTTTTTCTGCAAAGGGACCAGGACGACTGATCCGTGTAAAGGAAAGAATAAATGGGGCCATGTATTGTGAGATTTTGAGTGAAAACCTCCTTCCATCAGCAAGGGCATTGAAGATGAAACATGGCTGGGTCTTTCAGCATGACAATGATCCCAAACACACCGCCCGGGCAACTAAGGAGTGGCTTCGTAAGAAGCATTCCAAGGTCCTGGAGTGGCCTAGCCAGTCTCCAGATCTCAACCCCATAGAAAATCTTTGGAGGGAGTTGAAAGTCTGTGTTGCCCAGCGACAGCCCCAAAACATCACTGCTCTAGAGGAGATCTGCATGGAGGAATGGGCCAAAATACCAGCAACAGTGTGTGAAAACCTTGTGAAGACTTACAGAAAACGTTTGACCTGTGTCATTGCCAACAAAGGGTATATAACAAAGTATTGAGAAACTTTTGTTATTGACCAAATACTTATTTTCCACCATAATTTGCAAATAAATTCATTAAAAATCCTACAATGTGATTTTCTGGATTTTTTTCTCTCATTTTGTCTGTCATAGTTGACGTGTACCTATGATGAAAATTACAGGCCTCTCTCATCTTTTTAAGTGGGAGAACTTGCACAATTGGTGGCTGACTAAATACTTTTTTCCCCCACTGTAAATACTTTTGTACCTGTTTCCTCCAGCATCTTCACAAGGTCCTTTGCTGTTGTTCTGGGATTGATTTGCACTTTTCGAACCAAAGTATGTTCATCTCTAGGAGACAGAACGTGTCTCCTTCCTGAGCGGTATGACGGCTACGTAGTCCCATGGTGTTTATACTTGCGTACTATTGTTTGTACAGATGAACGTGGTACCTTCAGGCGTTTGGAAATTGCTCCCAAGGATGAACCAGACTTGTGGAGGTCTACAATTTTTTTTCTGAGGTCTTGGCTGATTTCTTTTGATTTTCACATGATGTCAAGCAAAGAGGCACTGAGTTTTAAGGTAGGCCTTGAAATACATCCACAGGTACACCTCCAATTGACTCAAATGATGTCAATTTGCCTATCAGAAGCTTCTAAAGCCATCACATAATTTTCTGGAATTTTCCAAGCTGTTTAATGGCACAGTCTACTTAGTGTATGTAAACTTCTGACCCACATTGTGATACAGTGAATTGTAAGTGAAATAATCTGTTTTTAAACAATTGTTGGAAAAATGACTTGTGTCATGCACAAAGTAGATGTCCTAACCAACTTGCCAAAACTATAGTTTGTTAACAAGAAATTTGTGGAGTGGTTGAAAAATGAGTTTTAATGACTCCAACCTAAGTGTATGTAAACTTCCGACTTCAACTGCATATAGTGTATATTATTTCAAAGGGGGGAAACGAAAGTGAAATAAGAAATTCAAGAAACTCATACATCTAAAGTGACGTTTACAAATGCCTCAGTCCTGATGAGTGGGCGTGGCTTGATTCCATGGAAACGGTTTGGCACAGAAATGAAATCAACAATTAATAGCCATTTCATCTTCCTCTGGAGTTTGAGGTAGGATTTGGAGAGAGAGTGAGCCTGCAGAGTGGGGCATTATATCCCTCTTGTCATTGTTTAATTGACTCAGCGTGGAGGGAAGGGGTGAGGGGAAAGGATGGAAGGGGAAAACAGGGGAGAGGAAGGGGGAGGCAGGCAGGGGGCGTGGGTTAAATTGCATGGGCAGAACAGGGGAGGAAGTGACAGTGGATTACCCTCTCTCTTTTTCTGTCTCTTTCTCTCTCTGCCCCCCACTGAGAAGTGCTGCTCTGCTGTGAGCTGGTCTCTGATTGCTGCTGCACTGGGGTAGGCCTGCCTGCTGGAGCACCAGGGAGATAGATGGTGAGGAACACATACTGATGGAGGACTGAACACTCCAATCATGGCCCATTTACTTTATTCTGCTAACTGTGGCAAATGATTGGCCCAGCATCGTCCGGGTTTGGCCGGTGTAGGCCGTCATTGTAAATAAGAATTTGTTCTTAACTGACTTGCCTAGTTAAATAAAGATAAAAACAAAAAATAAAAATGAGAGGCTATTGATTTTAATATTTGACCAAATGGCATTCCAAACCCTGGCACTAAACTAGCTGTGATCACCGAGAACTGAAACCCAGAGATACAGAAAATCAAGCAGTATTCATCACATTCAAGAGCACTACTGTCCACATTTAAACAACGCTCTGCATTAGTGGGTTCGCCCTTTGAATTTGACTGTAAGTTGTTAAAGAGGTCTCTCCTCTCTATAAATGCAACCATGTGGTTTCAGTGTAGTTTGAGGCCATTGGAAGCCAGCCAACAGTCCCAGTCTCTCAGGACTGCTCTAAAGACTCCCTTACAAGTAATGCACCTCTCCCTGGGTAATGGCATCGGAGGCTGTCCACACTGGGGCATAATGAAGATGGATAGACTCTGTTTATTTGCTGATGCTGACAGGAAAAGCGTGTCTCGCCTCGGCTGCGATCCATCATCAAAGCCTGCACACTACTCTGATGGCCACGGGTGTGTCTGTTCTGTACGCGTGTGTGTGCGTGCTGCCTATGCATTTTGAACCCTTAAAGGCCCAGTGCAGTCAAAAACGTGATTTTCCTGTGTTTTATACACTCCTCAATTGTCCAGTGTTGGTGGCCACTGGAGCCGCTTCTTCTTGTTTTTAGCTGATAGGAGTGGAACCCGGTGTGGTCGTCTGCTGCAATAGCCCATCCGTGACAAAGACTGATTACTTGTGCCTTCCGAGATGTCGTTCTGCACACCACTGTTGTACTACGCCATTGTTTGCCAGTTTGTGGCCCACCTGTTAGCTTGCATGATTCTTGTCATTATCCTTCGAGCTCTCATCAACGAGCTGTTTTCGCCCACAGGACTGCTGCTGACTGGATGTTTTTTTGTTTGTCGCACCATTCTCGGTAAGCCCCAAACACTGTTGTGCGTGAAAAGCCCAGGATGCCGGCCGTTTCTGAGATACTGGAACAGACGCGCCTGGCACCGACGATCATACCATGCTCAAAGTCGCTTAGGTCACTTGTTTTGCCCATTCTAACGTTCAATCAGTAACTGAATGCCTTAATGCCTGTTTGCCTGCTTTATATAGCAAGCCACGCCCACGTGACTCACTGTCTGTAGGAGTGAACCCTTTTCGGGAATGGGATGTTGTATATATTTCCACATAATGAGATTGGAATAATACTGTGAAATTGTGAAAATTATGATGATGCCCTTTTAGTGTAAGAGCTGTTTGAAAAGACTGCCTCAAATTTCAGCCTGTTTTGATGGGATGGAATCACCAGGCGGTAGATTAGTTAATAGACTAATAAGAGTTCCAAACCTCTCTGCCAATAACAGCTCGTTTTCAGTATCCACTCCCAGACAGTCCTAGCAAAATTATTGCTTGAGAAATTGTTGTTTGCTAAGAAGCTATTTTTGTTTATTTTTGACCATTATAATTTAAAACAATCACAGTAAGTTACTTAATTGTTACCCAGAAATTATTTGATATTGAGAAAAAAATAACGTCTGCATTGGACCTTTAAACTGAGCTACTTTAATATCTTGATAATTATACAATATAGAATTTAAGTGGGACCCACCAGATGAGTCGGTAAAATAACTCGCGAATAACTGGCATAAGGCCTCTCCTCAGACACTTTACTGTTAACTTAAAGCAGTAAATCTGAGTCATCCATTCCCACAGACAAGTGAATAGCACAGGGGGAATATAGATGACCTAATTAATGAAAAGAGCAATAAGGATAGAAATGCTTGAGTATGACTCAATCAGCAGGTCCTACTGCGGGACCACAGGGAATTACAGAGAGGAGGCAGATAGAGTGGGCTAGAAGCAGCGGAGGCTACAGTATGGTCTTGCTGGGTTAATTGTGTCGACCCTTTATGGTACTGAATTAGCACTGTGGTGACTGGGGCTGTTGATGTTAATGTAGGTAGCTAGCCTTTACAGACAGCCCTGTACAGCTGCCGGGACACTGGTTTCATTCCACTCTGATGGAGAGAGGAGAGAGAAGCTCCAGCTAATAACAGCAACCTGTCCCATCTCTCATGGAATGCAATTGTGTAGTTCAAGCAGTGATAGGACTTCCAGCAGCTCAGCATCTGTCTCCTGCTCTGCTTCGCTGATTATGTAGAGATGCACTTACAGTTAAACAATAGGAACACATTAGAATCTTTCTGGAGGAATCTGTATGTGGGTGGCTGATTGACAGGTTCTTTCTCTCCATCACAATATTGCGCTTTGAGGAGGACAAAGAGAATAATTTTGGCTGCCGCTCGTAGCTGTAGTTTTGACTGCTAACCCCCCCCCCACCACACACACACACACACACACACACACACAGAGAGCCACACCTGTGCTAGGCTCCAGAGCATCTCTTTCCCTTTGACAGCACACAGCTGCTCTGTTAATTAACCACAAGGGTTCATGAGTGAGGTTAATTAAGCAGCGTGTCATCACATTCCCATAAGGAACAGGCTTTTGGGTGGCTCTCCCTCTTCCTCTTCTTCTTCTTCCATTTTCCTTCTTCACTTCAACCTTGTGTTATGATGTATTGACTGGTGAAATTCTAGAGAAGTAAGGTATTAACCTAAGAAGTGAACAAAGATCGAACCACAAAAAAAAATTCAAAGGGGACACTGGCATTTGAAGACATTTTAATAATAAATAATGTGGTAAAAATGACAATATTTTTTTCATCCCGTTTATAACATACTCAGTAATGAAATACCATGGCTGACATCATGAACATAGTTGCAATTCTTTAAAACATGGCAAACTCCAAACAAATGTCACGTGTCCTCAGCGAACAATGTTTCACACATTCTGTAGATGTGTAGGAAGCAAAAAAAAGTACCCAAAGCTTGGCCTAGATGTAGCCAAAACGAAGCTAAACCCAACATGCTGTTCCATCTCCAAGCTGCAGCATTTTCAAGTCCCAGTCTTTGTCACCAGTTGTCCTCTTTCTGTAATAGAGTCCTTCTTCAGGGTAAGTATTAATGTCACTTTCCTCTGCCCTCTGTCTTGCTGGGAAACCATGGTGGATGTGTCACTGTGTGCTGGTTGCTCATGGAGAAAATGCTACCCATCATCAGGCATGGAGAAATCAATTTTCCAGGATGGATCCATCAACATTCCCTACTAATGGGGAGACTCCTACTAATGGGGCTTCCTCACCCTTCTCTATTGGTACAATGTATCCCTCAGCTTGTCTACTGTCTCTCTCACTTCCTCATAAGTGCATTTTTAGACATGAGAGTATAGTCCGATTAACATAGTAGTTTGGTCATAATAAATCTATGAATGCAATCACTGCTTTGGGCAGTGTCCCCTTGAGTCCAAATAAACACTGTGGTTTCAATTGAACCTAAACTAGACAGGGGAGTTTCGCTTCCATCCCAACCCCTAACAGAAACAGAATATTAAGACACATAACACTGGTCCAATCGTGTGTATCATTGTTCCTCTTGTATGACAGAAGGTCATAGATAACAATAGTTTAAAATAAAGTTAAGTGATTGTGCTTTTGAAACCAAAGTAGAACAAATAACGCACATTGACAAGACCAACATCAATAACAAAACAAAAACAGTGCATTACAAAAATACATTAAAAACAAATGTAAAATTCCCATTGTAGCAATTTTTGTGGCAGTAAAATTAACAAAAATGTACAAGATGGATAGTGATGTCCAAATATTAATTACAGGGGCAACAGACAGGCCAAGACCAGTCTGTGATACCACAGCAGGTGGTCCAAGACAAGGTCTCTGTATACACTGACAACAGCCATCTAATGTGCATGTACTTTCATTGAGGCTGTGACTACTTTCATCGAGGCAAATGGAAGCAAGCTCTCAACCAACAAGTCAAGTAAAAAATTATTTAGTTAACAGACTCAAACGCCATTGCACCTTTTTTCTCACTTTCTTTTTTCTTGCAAGATGGACATCAAATTAGAAATTGTAATACGAAAAACAAATATTAAATATTGTTCAGTTTTTTTGTTCTGTATGATATGAAAAGTAATTTACATAATAGTCACTGAATTGTGATGTCAGATCCCCCTTCCTTTCCTTCTCCCATGATCCTCAGCTCTCCAGCAGCTGTGGACTCAAGACACAAGTTTATAATACAACCCCTCAATTAATGGCCATAAAAAGAAGATCATAGACATACTAGATTTTCAACTCATGGAAACTAGTAAACGGACACTTTTATGAGTATCTTGTTCTCACCTCTAGCTCCTCTTCCTGGGTCTGGAAGCCTGCGATGCTGGGCAGTGTGTCTGTGGGGTTCCTACGGGCCCCGGGGGCCCCATCTCTCCTCCGTCCCCCTGAGCCCCGGGAGGACATGGAGCTGGAGGAGCTCTGAGCCTGGCTCTGGCCCTGCACCGAGGGGAAGGAGGGCCTGCTGTACGGGGGGATGTCCTCAGAACCTGGGACAGAGAGAGATGGTGGATGGTTACACACATTCTACCTAGTTTGTACTGGATCAACTCCATTGAGATGAATCATCTAGTTTTCAAGGGGATTTATTTTGACATGTAGGAACCACATACAAGCATGAAGTTATGAAGCTCATATGTGTACTTTGTTCCAATACACAAACCATATGGGAAGTAGACTACATTGCAGTAAGTACCTGGGTTTTGACAGGCTTTGCTGCTACCCTTGCCTTCCTTTGGAGTCCTGTTCTTGTCCTGGGCCTCCCGTCTCTCCACAGAGCCCTCTCTGGTCCTCTGGCCTCCTGCACTCCCTCTCCGGCCCCGACTCTCCCCAGAGCCAATCCTAGGGAGCGTGGCACCCCTCACCTCATAGCCACACCGCGACATGTGACTAGGGGACTTCAAGGGCATGCAGGAGTCTGAGGAAAGAAGAACACAGAAATGGAACTTCAGACTTATTGGAACATCAATCACCAAGGCATATGTACTGTACAGCTAGATAAGTCAATGTGAGAGCTGTTCCATGCAGTGATCCATGTCTCAGACCAAGTCCCTTACCGTCTGTGAAGTCGTTCCTCTTCTGGTGACCTTGGTGGCCAACCTGGGCCTGGTGCTGCTTGTGCCTCTTGGGCGGTCTCTTCTGCATCATTGCAGAGCTCATGTTGCTGTCTGTGGACAGGGGGCTGCTGGGACGCTGGTGCCGTCTCCCTGAGGAAACAGACAAACAGTCAGTACATTAAAGTTTATCTAAGAAGGCAAATCTATGCATTTTATTTCTGATATTTTCCCCTGACCCAGTTTCCTGCCCCCTCTCTCCTCCTCACCTGCTGGTCCTGTGTCCTCTGGGAACCTGGCCATGCGTAGACCTGCTGTGTAGTCCCCTGTGTTGGCCACAGCCTGGGCGAAGTCGGCGTCTGTGAAGAAGGATCCGTCTGAGGAGCTGACGGCGCTGGAGTGTCCTGACGAGCAATTGTCCTCCTCGGAAGCCGAGCCCCAGCCGTTAATCATGGAGCCCGTCACGGAGCTCTCCAGGTCCCCCGTGCTGGAGGCCGGCGTCTGCTCCAGACCCCGGAGATGCAGCCTGCGTGGGGAACGGGGGTGCTGGTGGTGGGGCAGTTGTTGGTGGGGCTGGTGGTTATTTTGGTGCTGGTGGTAGTGACCCTGGGCCATGTCTGCATCCGTCTCATCCCCTGCCTCTTCTTCATCCTCCTCCTCCTCTTCCTCCTGACCGTCAGTATCCAGTGCCAGGGGGCTGGAGATGTAGCCGTAGGTGTGTGGAGGGGAGAGGGGGAGCGGAAAAGGAGGGGGGCTGGCCGCGTGTTGTCTAAGAAGGGAAAAAGGGAAAGGATCAAAGCATTGATTAATACAAATGGCTTATGGTTGTAGCTGGGATGAGTGAGATGCAGTGTGAGTTGGGCTCATAGTTACCTGTGGTGGTCTGTTCCATTGTATAGGCCGTTGTGCTGGTCTCCCTGGGGGGAGGGGGTGAGAGTGGCCGTAGACTGGTGACTGTAGGACAAACCCGCAGGGGATGAGGCTGCCCCTCTGACAGGGGGGGTGGGACACCTATCCATCCCTTCCTCCGCCTCCTCTTCCTCCATCTCATCCGGATGCAGGTACATCCGCGAGGGAAGCATTGGGCATAGGGCATCTGGGTTAAAGCTTTTTTCCATGGGCAGGGTATACTCGTCACAGCTCCGGCTTGGTGGGGGGATGGCAGGGGCAGGGGGCAGAAGTTCACCCCGGTTCACTGTGTTAGTTTTGGGCAGTTTGGGAGTGCGAGTTCCCTTCTTATGACTTTGGCTCCCTGCAGAGGCAATAGAGAAAAACTCTTAGAACATACTGCATAACATATACTTATTTGTCCTATTGCTATGATCCGGGTAATCAGTGTCTCACCAGAGGTGCTGTTGCTGCCCCTGTCAGAGCTGTGGTGGGAGCCTCCTGTGCTGTGTTCGTGGGCCTGGTTGTACGGGACGGTGCCTTGCAGGGGCCCATCTCCTCTATAGTGGTCTGAAGACACAGCAGATACAGAGAGAAAGAAACAGACAGAGTTAAACAGATATGTTGACTACACAGAGTAAAACAAATAAACTCAAACAGAAGTAACTTCCCAAATACCCTCCCTCCCACCACTGCTACGCTATGTCCAATCCTCTCACCTTTATTAAGCCTGTTGCTCTGCTCCATGATGTTGTACTGCATATGTGCTTTCTGCAGCTGGGAGGGGGGCTGGTTCCAACAACGTATATCAGGGGCCCCAGCCGCGGCCCCAGCTGCTGCAGCCTTGTTCAGGATGCTGGACTGGATGAGCTGGGTGGTGGCGTAGGGGGTGGGCTCGTAGGGGGTGGGCGGACCTGCCCCTGGGCCCATGTAGCACAGGCTGGGGTTGTTGAAGGTCTTGAGCTCGTTGAGTTTGTTGGAGAGGTCCACGTCGCTGTACACAGCCTGTTCAGGCCCCAGTAGACCCCCCCCCTGCTGGTTCTCCAACTGGCTGCCATAGTTGGCGAGGCAGTCGGCTGAGGAGAGGAGACCACATGGGGTTAGGGTTAGAGACACATTACCTATTCATTAACCCTTCACACAGGAAGTCACATAACACCATTAATTATCATGTTGAAGCCATGTTTCATTTCCATGATAACCCTCATTGCTCATTTGATTTGCATTATATCTCTATACTATAAGTTCCATTGCTGGGACCTGAACACTATCACCACCGGAGGAGGTCTGTAGCTGTAACGGTACTGACCTGGGCGGCTGTAGGTGGTCATGTTGCTGTCGCTGGTGCCATTTCCAGTGTTGCAGCAGTTGATGCTGCAGTCTTTGTGGTTGGCACAGGTGTTGGGCCAGGAGTCTGGCAGCCACGGCTGGTTCACACTCTCCCCCATGTTCAGCAGCCCGGGTCTGAACCAGAAGAACATAACCAGAACCATTATCACACAGAACAACCTTTTACTCCAAGTCAAGTAAACAGGATTTCAGTCAGGGATGGGCATGGGAGTTTCTGTCCTCTGTCATTTATCAGACAGGGGGAGACCTCCCTCTGGTGGTTCAAGTAGTGAATACACAGTTGTTGCTTTTACCACTTCCCTCCTGCATTACTGAACACCATAATCAGTGCACTATATAGACAGTGGGGAAATCATATCCAGTAAAGTGTACACATAAAACCACACATTGGGATGATGCCCCTTACCTCCCAGCACTGCAGACAGACTCTCCTCCTCTCTGATAGTTCACTGATTTAAAGAAAGGGAACAAATGTGAGAAACACAAGAAAGCAACCTGCATGACAAATGAGCGAGGGAATCCAGGATGGTGGGACCTGTCTGTCACTCTGTATTCATACAGCTGTCCTTAGGTCAGTCTGACTCATTGCATCTGATAGACACATCCTGTCATGAGTCATACTCGGCACACACACTCACACACACACGTACTCACGCACACACTCACACAAACAAACACACATCAACACACAGGCAACCCACACTATGTAGAAAAACAAAATCAGTGTGAGAGTGTAAAACAATGACTGATCCCCCTTCAGTTCAGATACATCCTCTTCACTGGAGGGTGAGTCACTTCAACCATATGATTAGATACACTTTACTACTACAGTCACTGTGTGAAGGACAAGTGGGAATATGGGACTGTGGTTATGCTCTGTATGTTGGGGGTACTAACTGCATCTCTACCTTGTCACAAAGCATAGTGACACAACAGCACTCTGAACTGTCTTCACCACAACGACAGGACAGGCCAACTGGTGGCCATGTTGTGTCGTTGTCTATGCCTGGTCTAAGAAGCTGGGACAAGGAGGGGCTAATGACCTCTTTAGGAGCTGTCTGTCACCTGATTCACCTTATGTCAGAACATCACTTTGTGTAGCCCTGAACCGACCTCCCTCTGTGAGATTTTGTATTTTGTATTATTGGTTTGTGGATGTGAGGCCACCAAAGATAAATACTGGCTCCATTAGCTGTTTGTGTATGGGAACAGATTGTCCGTGAGTGCTGGGAGGAACTGAGGAGAGAACTGTGTTTGTGTACAGGCATCTCTGAATCACAGGGGCTTCAATGTCAGTACACATACTGGTAAATAACAAATACATGTTTACAGCTGAACACATTCATTCATACATACCTGTAGGAGTGAAGGTGAATGATGGAACTGCAGGAACAAACCCAACACAAACAGAGGGAATAAGAAAAAAAGGAGATGGGAGAGAAAGAGAGAAGAAGGTTCATTTCGTAAGCCTGTGAAAAAAGCCCCACAAAAAACCATCAGACATATTGACGCATGCACGCACACTCAAACACACACACACACACAGTCAGATGAGGCTCCCTGTCCTGCATCAATCACCACCGCTGTGGTCTCAGGAACAAGTGGCCTTGTGGGTAATGGAGGTCACCTGGGGTCAGACGGAGAGAGATAACAGAGATTGCAGAACACGTGTCATATTACCTGGGTGACAGGCCTGTCCCTACTCTAACTGTGCCTCAATGGGGAGAGGCGGCGGGCAGCGCCCTGGAAATGAGCCCTAAATGTCAGCGTTTGAATGTCAGCGTATTCTGGGATGTGCCAGCTCATCGTCACTACCCTTTGAGGTCTTCGAGTCAGGGGAGAAGATTAGACCAAACCCGTTTTATTTCATTTCTCCATATGATATGTGGTTATCAGGCTCCTTACTTTGAGGATAAAAGCAGCTGACACTAGGCAAGTCACATTATAGGCTACAGGAGAAAAACACACCTTAATGTGATTGAAGTGAATAAATGCAATTACTCTGGTGAAACAGAGGACAGTGTCCCGTCTCTAACTCAGAGGGCTTAGGTTGCCAGTGTTCAGCTAAATGACCACAACAAAATCCAACCTAATGTCCTCCCTCCCTCCATCCACCTCCCGACATCTAATCATTATCATCATCCCAGTCTCTTTCTCATCTCCCTCCAATCTCTACAAAACTAAATATTAGCTGGGTGTGATCAACCTTTGATACTCTACTTACTGCAGTATAATACTGTAAACACAAAGACACTGATATCCAATAAAAAGTTCTCAGTAACACACACAGTCACCCATACAGTGCCTTGCAAAAGTATTCACCTTCCAGCAGGACAATGACCCTTAGCATACTGCTAAAGCAACACGAGTGATTTAAGGGGAAACATTTCAATGTCTTGGAATAGCCTAGTCAAAGCCCAGACCTCAATCCAATTGAGAATCTGTGGTATGACTTAAAGATTGCTGTACACCAGCGGAACCCATCCAACTTGAAGGAGCTGGAGCAGTTTTGCCTTGAAGAATGGGCAAAAATCCCATTGGCTAGATGTGCCAAGCTTATAGAGACATAACCCAAGAGACTTGCAGCTGTAATTGCTGCTAAAGGTGGCTCTACAAAGTATTGACTTTGGGGGGGTGAATAGTTATGCAGTTTTCTGTTTTTTTGTCTTATTTCTTGTTTGAATCACACAAAAAAATATTTTGCATCTTCAAAGTGGTAGGCATGTTGTGTAAATCAAATGATACAAACCCCCAAAAAATCAATTTTAATTCCAGGTTGTAAGGCAACAAAATAGGAAAAATGCCAAGGGGGGTGAATACTTTCGCAAGCCACTGTACACCCACCCACACACACGCACGCACACACACAGTCTTGTTTAACTAACCTTGTGGGGACACAATTGATTTCCATTAAAAATCCTATTTTCCCTAACCCCTAGCCCTAAGCCTAACCCTAAACTAACAACATGTCCCCAGTTGGTCAAATGTCCCCACAAGTATAGTTAAACATGTCGACCGATATATACACCCAATCCCACATCCTCTACGGACCTTTGCGTATGCCGGCGTAGCTGCTGCTGAGGCCACTCCTCTTCTTGCGGTGGCGGTAAAGCCACACACTGAACACCATGAGGACCACCCAGCAGGTAGCGCCAATGCCTGCAATGAACGCTGGCTGCTTGACCACGTTTGAGATCTGAGACAGCGTGTCCTGGTCCTCACGACTGTCTAACATCTGACCTGTAGAGTCTGGGGGAGAGTGGGAGGAAGAGGAGGAGAGGAGATTGACACATAGGACATACATATAGTATACTCCATCATAGAAAATTGACCGGGAAGAATTGAGGCGGATCCTGAAGGACAAACATCAGTCCTTCAAAACATTCAAGTTCAACTGAAGGGCAGGAGTCTGAGATGGAAAACAACATTACAGAGAGGAGACAGGAGAGTCCGCTGAAAGGAGATATCTCTAAATACATCTGGTCACACAATCTGTCATGGAGAATGTTCTCATTCTCTGCTCATCAGAGTGCTAGGCCAAGAGGTGAACTGGAGTGAATGGACTCCATGATGTAACTCTAAAAGCTTGATATGGGTAATGTGAAAAGGCAGGAAAATCGAGTTGAAAATGTCAGTGGTGTGTGTGCTTTTTGTCACATATAGCGAACCTGAGAATAGGGCAGGAGAGGCTAAACACAAATGATTTTTTTATGATTATGATACCTAACTAAAGGCATTGTGAGCTGACTCAGAGACATATTAATGTTGGGACTTTAGATAGACACCCTGTACTGTACATTTGTCATGGTGAGAACTGACACAGTATGCAAATCACACAGACCATCTATCACATGGCTATAACTGAAAAGACATTAGACAGGTAGCGATTGAACTGGTATTGACCTCAAGGTTGTGAGTCAACAGAGACATAGATAATGGATTAACACTGTTAATTCACCTCTCCGTTTCCTGGTTCTGAGATCAGATAACATTCTTAATATATTTTTAGATGCCCTAAACTTAGGGGAGACTATCAGGTGTTAACTACAGTTGAGCAGCTCACCAAGTTGAAAGAAGGTGACGTCACTCTTGACCCCTGGGCCAGCGCCGTTGCTAGCAGCGACCTCCACGCTGTAGCGTATCCCTGGCGCCAGGCTGGGGATCAGCACGGAGAAGGTGTAGCCATCTACTGTCCGGTTTACGTGGTAACGACTCTCGTTGCCCAGGCACCAGATCTGTAGAGGAGAGGGTGAAAGAAGGAGAGTGATGGTGGAGTCAGTGGGCCTTTTTTTTCTCAGTAAATGCAAAAACTGTATTTGATGTGACATATCAACATTAGCCCAGTAGTTGGCAATGTCTCACATCAATGTGCTTAGTCCACCTCTGCTGAAGCAACTAAAAACACATGAACCCAAGGAAGTGAGAGGGAGAAAGTGGGAGGCTTGAGATTCTGCTCCATACCTATCTCTGTTTGTTCCCCTTTTTCCTTCAGTAGAAAATCAAACCATCTCTCCGTCTTACCTTGTACTCCTGTACCATTCCGTTCTGTTCCTCCTCGGGAGGCGGTTGCCAGGCGACCAGGATGGCGGTCCCATTGGCATCACTCTTCGTCACGGTAACGCCCCGGGGGGCTCCACTGGGGGCTGAGACGGGAACACACCGTCAGACAGATGCACAGACATCATAATGACATCAAAGACACCCACTCTCAATTGATCCTGTACATGTCACAGCTCCGCTCAGCGTCTGCCATGTCTCTTACTGAACATGAAAGAACATTTAGTGACAATTCAGATCAGATGCAACAGCTTCACCTGCAGTAGTCAGATGATTCTCAATACAATACGCGATGCAAGCTCTAAATAAGAGTAATGTTACTGAACAGAATGATCATAAAGAGCTAATGAACAGCATGTGGAATAAATAGAGGTTAATATTGTAGAATGTTTTAAATTGTAAGGGTATGGAACTAGAGTGAATACCCACTGGCCACAGACGTCAGTTCAGCTCCTAGTTTTGATTTACATTTGGTTGAGTTGTCAACTAATGTGAATTCAATGTAAAATCAACAAAACATTTCACCATGTCATTGGATTTAGCTTAAAGGTTGGGTAAAAAAAATATGAAATGCCCTTATGTTGATGACTTTTGGCAAATCTAATCAGTTTTCCACATTGATTCAACGTTAACACATTTATTTGATTGGTTGAAATGACGTGGAAACAACATTGATTCAACCAGTTTTTGCCCAGTGGGTACTTTGTATGGATGTTGTGATAATTGTTAGTATTTGTAAGGTGAGCAGATTTTTTAAAATGTGTAACACAATGTTTTCTCTGACAAGCTGGGGCACTGAATGTACCACATATCTATTTATCTAGCTCAGCCCACTGCATCCTCTTGCAATTATCTGCCTAAGGGTTTGAAACCCACACGAAGCCAAAGGTCGAGGTGGCTAGTTTGTCATCAATATAATACAGGAATTGACTGAGCTGATGTTGTGTTGAATGGTAAGTTGCTGAAGCTCTAGAAATGTCTGGAGGCTTTGTGTGCTGTGCCACGGTGGTGGTGGTGCGAGTCACCTGATGAGAGCAATTCAAGTGAATCAGTAGTGCGTTGGCCTCAGGAGCTTAGTCATCGCCTAGTTAAAGATAATGAAAGCAGGCATGTCTGTTGTCTCGGGCTGGATGGGGCTCTACGTATGAACTCAGAAAACAATTAGCAGCGCAATTTGTCTGCACAGCTGCTACTACGCATTCATCTATACAGAATACAGACACATATAAGCTTTAAACAATGTGAAACTCCCAAACCTCACCAATGTTGATTACTATGCTACAACCATACAGTAACACCCATATATCTCCGGAACAATTAGCACACTTTATTTGGAAAGTCCGGATTTTCCATTGGTAGATGCTCTGTTGATAGAATGACCATCAACAAACTATCTGTTGGTAAGCAACTGCTTGCTAAGGTTACGGTTAGTTTTAGAATAAGGGTTAGAGTAATGGTTAAGGTTAGGGTTAAGGGTAATGGTTAAGTTTAGGGTTAGGATAAGGGCAGTGGAGGCTGCTGAGGGGAGGACGGCTCATAATAATGGGTGGAACGGAGTAAATGAAATGGCATCAAACACATGGAAACTATGTGTTTGATGTATTGGATACATTCCACCTATTCCACTCCAGCCATTACCACTAGCCCGTCGTCCCCAATTAAGGTGCCAACAACCTCTTGTGGATAAGGGTTAAGGTTAGGGTTAGGGTTAGAGCTAGGTTTAGTAGATAGTTGAAATGTTACTGATTGTCTGTAGATAGTCTGTAGAGTATCTACAGATGGACTATTCAAATAATATGTTACCGGGTTGTGTTATGGTTTCTCAAAAATCAAATTCATTTATTTCTACACGTGAAAGGTTGATTTGTCAACCACTTCCCTGGACTACTAAAACTCTCACAAAACCACCTACTCCATTCTAATACTATACCTGCTGTATGAAACCTTTCATCTCCACCCACACTTCCCATCATTACCCTCTCTAACAGAAGCCCTTGACCCCTGGCCCCAGCCTCTCACCTTCCTCAGGCGTCCTGGCCACCTTCACCTCGCTGTCCGCTCCCTGGAATTCATCGAAGAAGGGACGCACTTTGAACTCGTAGGTGACCCCCTTCTTCAGCTGAGGCACCACAGCACCGTCCTCTCCAGGGTTCCGCACTTCAAACTCGCTCCACTGTCCCCCCGGCTGGCCCAGCTCAGCAGACGCCCTGTACATCACCTTGTAACCTTGGATGTACGGAGACTGCTGCTCCACCTAGTGACAGAAAAGGGGAACAGATTTTAGAATTTCTTAGAAGGCTTCTAAAATACAACAACATTTTATAAGCAGTGTTATGACCATGTGTTCTCACTTTGAACTTTGGAACACATTCTAACGCAAGAAAAAGGAACCCTACTGTAAATGAAATTGCTATTACATTTTGGTTGCCATGGCCGTTGATATTTAGTATTGTAGTTCCAACCAAACCGATTTCATAGTAAGCCCTGGGATCTATGATGCAAGTGTCAAAGAGCCATTACAACATCAGGAAATGGTACAGTGATCTCAGAGGTTGGGCCAGTGTGTCACATGAAGAAAAACATCACATACATAACCAGTATAAATTATAAGTCCATAACTCTCATGCTGTGTGTGTTGGGCTAGTAACAATATAGTGAACATCCTCCAGGAGAGGTCTTTAGCTCTGTGCTATGTTGCTGCCAGAGCCCATGGGGAGAGCTTAGGTTACACCCCCTCTCGTCTCGCAGAGCTCAGAGAAACCACAGCATGAGGTCATCACCAGCCACCAGTTTCCTGAGAGCCTGGGACTGGTTAGGACACTGCCAGGAGGGCACTGCTAACAGCACGCTCAGAAACATAGGCCTCAGAGCTAGGTATCGTAGACATGGCTAAGGAAGCTAAGACTTCATAAGCACTTTATGAATGACTGGGCCCAATACTTTTTACTTGGAAATGGCCCATAACAAAGTGTTCTTGCCCATTTTAAAGGGGATCATGTTAATTTGTACTGTCCACTGGCCCTATTAATAATTTTCTGTCCAAGTGTGCTGAAAGTCAAAACTCTCCAGGCAGCCAAGTTCCACAGACACTGGCCATGGGGAAGCCTTCTCCCTGGCTGCCTGGCTTTGGTCCTGCTCAGCTAAACTATTTACATTCTGTGTCTGTTTAGTACTGCACCCCTGACATTTGCTCATTCATCACTGAGAGGGAGAAACACCTCACAACATCTACAAGTCCTCTTTCATAGACCAGGATCAAAACTCACTTTGTCAGCACAGGTGGTCTTGATTAGGCCATTGGTCCACATCCTACCCACAGCTCCACACAGCTGGCTATACAGCACAGTATGCTATATGCCTACAGACTCAACTATATGTTCTGAAGTACATTATTTCTCAATCAATCAAATTATATTTGTATAGTCTATTGTGAAAATCAGGCGGTCTTGATTAGGCCATTGGTCCATATCCTACCAGAGGTTGGAACGGGTTCAGGGAACAGAACAGAAAACCGAAAAATAACTACATTTTTGGAGGAACAGAATCAGAACCGGGAACGAAAGTGATCTATACTTTTCCGGAACAGAACCGTTATTTTAAAAGCATGGGAACCGGTTAGTAACGTTCTTTTACGTTCTGGGATTTTTTTTCAAGTCCCACAAAAAACGCAACAAAGTGCCTATGCAAAGCCCTCACTCTGTCACTCAGAAATATATTCCAGTGTCTGCCTGCCAGCTGAAAATCTTTACCGGTGTGTGTACGTGTGTAGGCTACCTGCCCCTCCCCCTCCGAAGCATAGGCTACTGTAGCCTACTGATGTTACAAGCGTGATTCAGAAATGAGGGAGAGAGATTTTTAATTAGAGAAGAATGGATTAACTTTTTCAATGCTACTTAAGGATACTATAGTTATCACGTTTGAAATTGTATTTATTAAGGCCAAAAAGGTAAGACATGTAAAATAAAATAAAAGGAACAGAAAGGAACAGAAAGGAACAATATAAACCTTCACTATTTTTTGGGTTCGAACCGGTTCAGAACTTTACTTTGCTGGTCGGAACATTGGAACGGAACGAAACAAATCACAGTTCTCTTCAGAATGAAACCATTGGAAAATAATTTAGGTTTCAACCCCTGCATCCTACCCACAGCTCTACACAGCTGGCTATAAAGTACAGTCTATGCTCTATGCCTCAACTATATGTTCTGAAGTACATTATTTCTCAATCAATAAAATTATATTTGTATAGCCTATTGTGAATATCAGTTATAGCCATGCAACCACAGAAGGGTGTAGGGAGACCAACAGACCAAGCAGTGTAAGAAACTGGGTGCAGTCATTCAAAATCAGCTGACACAGACAGACACTAGGGTAACTTCTCCTCAGGAAGGACAGTATCTGCAGACGGCCCAAGCCTAGTTAGGCTGAGGGTCAGGGGTCTACTCACCGTCCACTGCACCCTGACGGAGGAGGAAGAGAGGATAGTGGGGTTGTGGAGATGGACCACCACATCCCCCAGCTCCCTCTGGATCTGACGGTGGTCTACCCCCTGGCTGGTGGGAGGGGTGTCTGCATGGGGACACATAGAGAGGAAGGGGTTAAAACAGAATGGCCATGTTAGCTCACTCAGGCACTCACTTTTCCCCAGCCAAGCCAGCTGGTTACAATATGAGGACCATTAAGTCTCAGTGTCTCTGACATCAGCTAAATGTGACTCAATCATCAGGTAAAGCTTGTAGGGGAGAGGGTTGTCTCACCTTGTGTCCTGACTGCATCAGTGATGGGGCTGGGGTCACTGAGGCCATAGGCGTTGGCTGCTCTCACCAGAAACAGGTATACTGCACCTGGCTTGAGGTTCTTCAGGACAAAGGTCTCCATCTTCACGTGGTCAGCCAGAGTCACCCAGCTACTCCCCGACGCGTGACTGCACATATGGAGGAACAATGGTTAATCACTCACAACAGTCAAGGTCTTAAAAATGAGTGCATACACAGCGCATGCATATAGATACAGCCCTGAACACACATAATAGACACACATCTCGGCCCTCCTAGACTTACCTGAATGCCTCGATGACATAGGAGGTGGGCGTGGCCCCAGTGTTTGGGTTTGATTTCCTAGACTTACCTGAATGCCTCGATGCCATAGGAGGTGGGCGTGGCCCCAGCGTTGGGTTTGATTTCCTAGACTTACCTGAATGCCTCGATGACATAGGAGGTGGGCGTGGCCCCAGCGTTTGGGTTTGATTTCCTAGACTTACCTGAATGCCTCGATGACATAGGAGGTGGGCGTGGCCCCAGCGTTTGGGTTGGATTTCCTAGACTTACCTGAATGCCTCGATGACATAGGAGGTGGGCGTGGCCCCAGCGTTTGAGTTGGATTTCCAGGACAGAGTGACAGAGGTGCGGCTCACGTCAGTCACGTCAGGCTTGGACGGGCCACTGGGGATCAGGTTAGGGTCTGTGGGTCGACCTGGCTGGACAACTACTCCAAACTCTACCACACACAACAGAGAGGTCAGAGTGGCCATCAAACAATCAAATAAATACCAATCACACACAGCAAGAATGACTCCAGAGAGAGAAAGATAAGGCTGAAAATATCAATATGATGTCCATAACCTACCTTCCACCTCCAGGTAAGCCCTCCAGGATGCCTCTCCACTGGGGCTGGACGCCACGCATGTGTAGATGCCTGTATCTCCAAGCTGAGGAGCAGAGACACAGAGACAGTGTAAGAGTGGGTTCATTCGGTGGTGTCTGAGTAGTGGTCTGTGAGTGTATGTTGGTGGTGGTGTTACGCTGCCCCCTACCTTAGCGTAGCGGATCTGCAGGGCTCCTGTGTCTATCTGGGTGATGCGGGCCTCCTCGGGGGACACCACCACCCCGTCTTTCTTCCAGTGGACTGTTGGAGTGGGGGTCCCTGTTGCTTGGCAACCCAGGACCACTGTGCTGTCCACAGGTACCGTATGATTGGACGGGCCCTGTCGGATCACAGGAGGGGGGCGGTCCGACACCACTATTCAAAAGAGAGAGGGAGAATGTACTGTTTAATATATACTGTGAGAGTAATAGTTATCTCTATCACCCCTTCAGATAGAGAGATAAAGAAAAAAATGATAGAAGAGAATGGAGGGGGGAAAGACAGAGAAAATCAAGGACAGATACTGAGGGAAATTGATACAAGGAGAACACAATAGGAGTGACAGGTTGGGGCAGTGGAGGGAATAGAAATCAGATTATCCCAATGCCCAGAGCAACTGGCTAATCACTGGGAAGTAGCAGGAGCAGTAGGTGCTGGCTATAGCCAGAGCAACACAGACCAACTAATAACAAATCCCATTTAGATAGCAGTCGTGCAGGCATCACTCTCCCACTTCACAACCTTGTGGAAATAGGGGGGAAAAGGCTCTCCAAAATCAGAGGCACAGGGAAAAATAATAGAAACACCTTGAAAACCGCCAGAGGTAATGGCAGCAAGTTATTTCCATACAAATACACCTCGCAAACAGGGAGGGAGGAGGGGAGAGGAGAGAGGTGGGGGAAGGGAGATGGGAGAGACGGATAGGCCTATTCACTTGAAGGAAAAATATGGGGTAGTAGAGCGAGGAGTGCTACTTAGATTAAATTAAACATGCTACATTCTTGTTTCATTTCCATTAAGTGTAATTGAGTGTACATTAAGTCGGTGACTCTTATTTCTCCGGTGCGGCACGATGGCGGCTGCAGAACGCATTATCATCACCATATGATTACCCAGAACCAATAGCTACCACTGCTGAAGTCACCTCCATGCACAGACAATGCCTGCCGCCTGTACCAGCCTCAGGCAATTATGTGAATTAACGTAATATATGTACATAGTGAAGACACACACACACACACATATGCGCACGCATGCTCACACTCAAGTCAGTTTATTATAACTAAGTAGACTTTGCTGGTGGTGATGGCTGCTGTAATTACAGCTGTAGGCCTTTGAGCCAGACTCACCATTTTAATTCTGTTTTTAATAACTGATGCAATTATCAGGATGATCATAATTTGGTTCACCAGCATGACATTAGGGAGGAGAACGAAAGGTGTCTGTGTTTAAATGTGTGTGTGTGTGTGTGTGTGTGTGTGTGTGTGTGTGAAAATGTGAGTATGTGGGGGTTTTGCAGGAGGGTTCAGTTGGGAAGGAGGGGATGGGCAGTCTGCCTGCACTGTGTCACCATGGGAACAGGGTTCCTGAATTCACTGTAAACAGTAAGAAACACTGAACCATAAAGGACACAGCGTCTCGGCAGTCTACAGGAGAGGCTGATCTGCCATACATCCAGTCAGCAAAGCAGCAAGTAGCTATTCAGCTACACAGCAGTGCTTTTTTAGTCATGACATTGGAGGCCACAGATTCTGCATCGTGTGGAGACAACTCAGCCAACCAGGCCAGTGGAGTCAACTTACACAATGGAGGAGCTTTGGTCAGTTGATTAGAGGAAACCCTTCTCCCCTCCCTCCTTCCCTCCCTCCCTCACTCACTGTCAGTGACCTCCAGCAGGGCCTTGGTGATGACGGAGCCAGCGATGTTGAGGGCCTGACAGCTGTAGTAGCCGGCGTCAGAGCGCTGGGCATCTGCGATGGTCAGACTGCCAGTCTGGGACACAGAGAGACGGCTGAAGGGCTGCGGGGGCTGGTAGGAGAACAGCAGGCTCTGGAGGACAGAGAGAAAGAGCCAGAGGGGTCATGAGACTGGAATTACATGTCTATGCTTGAGACATCCACTGGACATGGTGTTATCAATATCATACACTAGGATACAGATCAATAACTTAAACTCTATGCATCAACATTGATAACTTAGATGGACTAGATAGTATCTCACATTGCTGCCCTCCCTCTGCCAGAAGATAGCAGGCTGGGGGTTTCCAGTGGCCTCACACTGGAAGGTGACCATTCTCCCCACTGCCACCACCTGGTTTCTGGGGCGCATGGCAAACGCTGGGGGCACTGCAGGGTTGGAGAGATGGGTCTCGGTTAACAGGACAAACCATGAAAAACGTTGCAAGCATTGAAATAGAATAATAGAATAAACCACTCAAATCACATATAAATAGGATGACATAATGATGATAACTTACCAGTGAAGACTACAAGAGAAGAGAATAGAAGAGACACAAACACAGGAGATGAATAATGATGGCACATGCGATGGGAAAAGATTACCAGTCAATCATTAAACATTTTCAACAAACACTTTGATGAATGAATACATGACTGAGTAAATGAATGGAACAAACAACAATCTGATACAAAGTTGCGGCATATGTGGCACAGAAGCTCTGTTTGTGTAATAGACTACTTTCCGGTCATTATTGGGGGATATGAGTGGTAGGGTGTGTTGACTGAGGCTGGTCTTAGGAGGAGTGGGCTTGTGTGTCTAATAAATGGGACCCCACTGGGAGACTGCTTTAGTGTGTGTTTGACTGTAAATACATCTCCTTACCTCTATCTAAATTATTAAACACTAGCAAAACACACACATGTAGCTACTGTGGACATATACACTCTCACACATACACACACATTACAGCAAATTACCTTTTAGTATTTTATCACTATTACATCACTACTACAGTGGAAATTTCCTTTCTTAAAGAGTTGAAGAGAAAGTCCGGAACACAGAAGGACCATAAAGAAAGGACCAAACAGAGGGAGGAGAGAAAGGAAGGACACAGACAGGAGAAAGCAGTGTGTTGTTGTTATTGGATTTGGCTGTGCCCTCTGAACCCTCTATCCCTCTAACCCTTGACAGCCATGTTTTCGGAGCGGGACTTGATGAATATGTGAACATGGACATCATAAGAGCCGAGGGCCAGTTCCCAGCATGCCATGCTGTATGGTAGAGGAAGTGGAGTGTCTCTTCCTGCCCCCTGCCTGAGTGTGTTGTCCTCATACCAGACCCCCTCTACGGGCCACATATGCAGCCAGCTACAGGCTCCCACCATATTTCATATAGCCGTATGTAATTATTTCCATTGACCGAATACTATGCCCCTGGAGAACGGCATGTTTCCTTCACTATGTTTGTCTGTGTAATATTTAGGACCCAGGATCTTGGAGGAAAACATTTTCTTCGCACACGCATGCATGCACACACACACGCACACACACACAGACACACACAAACACATAACATTGTTGGAAGTGTTTGAAAGGTTTGGTGTCGTGCTGATAGGTCCACACTGAAAGCCAAAGTGATGACCCCTGTAGTTTTATGTTTTATGGAGCCATCTGGGGTCAGAGGCATGAATTCCCCTGGCAGGCTTATTGGGTGACTGGGGGGGGGGTGCTGAGGGGACACATGAGCTCTTGTGTTTGGTCAGTTGAATGGGCCAGTGAAAGGTGAGGATGGAGTGTGAGTATGTATCTTGGAGCATGTGTGTGAATGTGTGCCTCGCACGTGCGTGTGTATTTGCGCCGATGTGTATGTGTGTGTGTCACGCACGTGTGTGTGTGTGTGCGTGTGTATTACTATGTGTGCTCAGTTGGTCTGCTGGGACACAGCGTGGGCTGTTCCCATCCCTTGAAGACCCATTGGACCGGTTGACTCAAAGGTGTGAAAAGCTTTGCATGGGAGTGTTGGGTTGAGTTACAAGGCCAGCCAGTCCTGCAGCCTGTTTGGACAGAGTTACGACCCCCCAGTAAACACATAAACCTGAGGGAAGATTGAGGGGGATGGATTCTACTACAGCTCCATGTGCTGGATTAACTAACACAGACACTCGGAGACAGGAACTTTGGGTGTAGAGCTAGGCTTATAGAGCCTTATTGACTGAGGGCTTCATGTCTCTGTAAAGGCTGTGGCACACTGAGTCTTAATGCCTATAAAGGAGATAAACAGTGATATGCATGGCTAGAGAGAGAGAGAGAGAGAGAGAGAGAGAGAGAGAGATAGAGAGAGAGAGAGAGAGAGAGAGAGAGAGAGAGAGAGAGAGAGAGAGAGAGGGGGAAAGAGAAGGGGGTGAATGAATGAGGCAGGGGGAATGGCCATAGTAAGAACAGAAAAGGGTGAGAAATGAAGACTTGACTTTGAGGAGGAAATACAGGAATCCAGATAATACTGTGCCAATTACTTTCAAATGCTACAAGGTGATCTGGAGTGTTGGCACTAGTTAAAGTGTGATGAACGACCTCAGTAAAAGTGTTAGGTGATGGAAAATATGCTAAATAAATCAAAATAAATAAACTAAACAAAAAAGTTACAAAAAAACTAACAGCTTAGCCTTGGAGGAAACCCTGTGTGCAAGCCTTGTTTTTGGATTTGAAAGCAGCTCGACTGGAGTGGGGATCCAATATACTTAGATTTTCACTACTGATAATATGGCCTGGCTCCACCAATCACATGGCCAGACTGTGTATAGAGGAAACAAACCCTTAATCTCATGCCTGCCCTGTGGATATGTTCAAACACAGCAAGCACACTAGACTGTTTGTGTTTGGGGCAGAAAACAGAGAAACCATGGAGCTTTGTTTCATTTCTGTCAGTCAACAGAGAAAAAAGGCAGTACAAATTACTACCGTGGGCTTATTCTGGTACTTGTTTAACAATGAATACTAGTGTATCTCGCTAGTCAGAAACTATGACTTGTGATACACTGAAAATATATTGTTTGAAAGGAGGGGGTAATACAAATTATTGTAATATCAATGTCAAACTCTCTCTCTCACCATTATGTTGGTGATCTGAACCCTCAAGTATCTCTCCAGATGAGATAATGTGTTTGTCAGACAGTGCTGTTGTTATGTCTCATTTCCTTCAGGGGAGATTTGTTCTCCCCATCCTCCCTCCCTCCCTCCCTCCCCATCCCTCTCTCCTCTTCCATCTCTCTCCACTGCTGGTTGGAACAGGAAGGAGGGAGAGGAGGCGAGAAAGAGAGAGAGAGAGAGAGAGAGAGAGAGAACAAGAGAGAGCGAGAGAGAGACAGAGACAGACAGACAGACAGACAGACAGACAGACAGACAGACAGACAGACAGACAGACAGACAGACAGACAGACAGACAGACAGACAGACAGACAGAGACAGAGAGAGAGAGAGAGAGAGAGAGAGAGAGAGAGAGAGAGAGAGAGAGAGAGAGAGAGAGAGAGAGAGAGAGACAGAGAAAGATAGAGAGAGACAGAGAGAGAGAAAAGTAGCTACACAGTATAGACGTCTACACCCTTACCTCCAATTAAGACGATCTGTACTCATCTGCTATCTGTGCTTCTTCTCCTCTGTTCAGACCCTAAATTAGACCCTGGTCCCCCTCTTTTCCCAGGCAGGCAGGCAGGCAGGCAGAGAGGCAGGTTTGGTGTAGAGTAGACTGTGTAATTGGAACCATGTAATTTCCCTGCATGGGACCCAGGCTTGTCTTTAATTAAGCCCTGCTCCTCCTCACTGTCTGTCTATCTCTCTCTTGCTCTGTGTCACTGGGCCACTGTGTGTGTGTGTGTGTGTGTGTGTGTATGTGCGTGCGTGTGTACTCGTGTGTGTGTGAATAGTGGGGTGTTACTGCTCATTTCCTGCTGTCAGTCCCTGGTGCCTCATCAACATTCCCATTGGGGCACCTATTCAGAACTGTTACACTGATCCAGTCATGGTTATACTGGCAATGGGCTGTATGAGTAGGGAACACGGCTAGTAGAGTGTTGATTGCTGCAGAACTGATATAATAATATAATAATATGCAATTTAGCAGACGCTTTTATCCAAAGCGACTTACAGTCATGCGTGCATACATTTTTTTTGTGTATGGGTGGTCCCGGGGATCGAATCCACTACCTTGGCGTTACAAGCGCCGTGCTCTACCAGCTGAGCTACAGAGGACCACGGATATGAACTCAAGCCAAGTAAATACATGACCTCACATTTAACTGATAACCCAACTCAGTCGGTTACCATGGGAACTGCTTGACTTGACACATGAATGTAGAATGATCCATGCTAAAGAAAACAGGGCAGGCCAGAGATCAGTGGTGTGACACTCTGTGGTGTGGCTAGACAGGGTTAGGTAAGATATGAGAACAGCTGTCTTCTCCTTCACACTTTCTCTAACGTTTCATGAATGTGAGAGCAACAGCTGCACAGCATAAACCCAGTCTGCACTTTGCATAGTCTGTGCACTTTCATGTCAAACAGCAGGTGTGACTTGGGTAAGGGTTAGGGTTGGGGTTAGGGTTACGGTCGGTGGAGGTTGTACTGACCGTGTACGGTCAGCGTAGCGGACGCCTCAGCCTTTCCCACCATGTTCTCTACAACACACGTGTAGGAGCCCTCGTCTGACAGTCTTACACCACGCACGCTCAGGGTGTGATCCTCTAGGATCTCATACCTGTAGACAGACAGACACATACACACACAGAGTGAGAGAAAGGTTCAGGGACATATAAAGAGAGAGACAGACATGACATGCATGCACACTGTAATATACCACGCATCTAATTCCATGACCAGATGTGAGCCTGCGTGTGCATATGAATTTAGATCAGAGTATATATCTATGATGTGTAACAGGGTAATATAAAGGCTGTATAGTACTGCTGGGCCATCCATCCATACCTCCCCTTGGGCAGGTCTGCATCCTCTTTCCTCCAGCGGACAGTGGGGACCGGATCTCCCCGCGCCTCACAGTTGAACTCCACACTCTCATCTGCCAGCACCATAATACTACTGGGCCTCTTCACAAACCCTGGGCGCTCTGGGGAAGGGGGAGATCATTATCATCATCATGATGTGTTTAAAGTTCAAAGTTGTGTGATCTCCAACCCTAGCCCTTGCAAAATCAAGCTAATATAAAGCTATTAGATAAGCACCTAAAAATGAGACCTCTGAATACCATTAGCCCCCTGTAATCCTCTCTCCATGGGATGGATGTACCACACCCACATTTCCCTGTGTTTCACCCTCTTATTTTTATACATCACTGGGATAAGTAGTTCCAAAATTAATTATATTTTCATTAAAAAACATTCATTTACGTGAATGAAAACAATTTAAATACACTTAAAACTATAAGGGCTTGTTAAAACTAGGGCCATTTTATGCACATTGGTCCCAGGGTACATTTTAAAACAGATCTGTTTCTTCAATACGCAGTATTATTCTATTAGCCCTAAATGTTTTTACTAGGCATTATAAATGTGAGTGGTGTGCCCTGGCCAGTCGCCCAGCCCAGCCTAGCCGTTCCTGTGATAAGATGTCTCAGTCTGCTCACTTGGGAAGTGTTTGGAGAGGGGGTGGGATGGGGGTGGAGAGGGGGACAGCATAGGGTGGAGGTGGGGGTGGAGAGGGGAACCAGGCTAGGGGTCAGTGGTCTGGGACACTTGGCAGCAGGAAGAACGAGTGAGAGTGGGGGGGTGAGAGTGTGGGTACAACCTGGTCCAGGACAGCTGGGGGGTGGCAGGGGTCACGGTGGGAAGACAGGGTCACCCTGAGTTTAGGATTCTAGGATAAATGCCTTCACAGCTGCAGGGCTGGGGGCCATTGTTATGTAACCTGTTTCATTATTGGATTATGTGCCAGGGAGAAAAGCCTTTACCCAGGGGAAAGGCAGACTCTTTGACCGTCACTGACACAACTAAGACTGACTGAATGGGGCTGAGAGGAGGGAGAGGGAAACAGACTCCACTAGAGGGACAGACCAACAGAAAAGCATACAGACAGACAGACATGGTCTTACCTAGTACAGTCAGTTCTGCAATCTCACTCTCCCTCTCTCCCACCATGTTGGTCCCCACACAAATGTATTTCCCTGCGTCACTCTTCCTGGCGTTGGTGATCATCAGCTTCCCACTGCGGATCTGACAGATGGAGGGAAAAAAGTAGAAGTTCTAAGGTCATATCTGTAACTAGATATATATATAAACCAAATATAAATAACACCACACTGAATATGGCAAATTATGCTTTGAAAGGCTCCCAAAAAGCGATTTGGTGAAATTATTTGCGGTTTAGAAGGCACTAAATCTAGGACAGCTTCTACCCCCAAGCCATAAGACTGCTAAACAGTTAATCAAATGGCTACCCGAACTATTTGCATTGACCCCCTTTTTTACGCTGCTGCTACTCGCTGTTTATTATCTATGCATAGTCATTTTAACCCCACCTACATGTACCTCAATTACCTTGACTAACCTGTACCCTAGCACATTGACTTGGTACCGGTACCCCCTGTACAGTAGGGAGAACAAGTATTTGATACACTGCCAATTTTGCAGGTTTTCCTACTTACAAAGCATGTAGAGGTCTGTAATTTTTATCATAGGTACACTTCAACTGTGAGAGACGGAATCTAAAACAAAAATCCAGAAAATCACATTGTATGATTTTTAAGTAAATAATTTGCATTTTATTGCATGACATAAGTATTTGATCACCTACCAACCAGTAAGAATTCCGGCTCTCACAGACCTGTTAGTTTTTCTTTAAGAAGCCCTCCTGTTCTCCACTCATTACCTGTATTAACTGCACCTGTTTGAACTCGTTACCTGTATAAAAGACACCTGTCCACACAATCAAACAGACTCCAACCTCTCCACAATGGCCAAGACCAGAGAGCTGTGTAAGGACATCAGGGATAAAATTGTAGATCTGCACAAGGCTGGGATGGGCTACAGGACAATAGGCAAGCAGCTTGGTGAGAAGGCAACAACTGTTGGCGCAATTATTAGAAAATGGAAGAAGTTCAAGATGACGGTCAATCACCCTCGGTCTGGGGCTCCATGCAAGATCTCACCTCGTGGGGCATCAATGATCATGAGGAAGGTGAGGGATCAGCCCAGAACTACACGGCAGGACCTGGTCAATGACCTGAAGAGAGCTGGGACCACAGTCTCAAAGAGAACCATTAGTAACACACTACGCCGTCATGGATTAAAATCCTGCAGCGCACGCAAGGTCCCCCTGCTCAAGCCAGCGCATGTCCAGGCCCGTCTGAAGTTTGCCAATGACCATCTGGATGATCCAGAGGAGGAATGGGAGAAGGTCAAGTGGTCTGATGAGACAAAAATAGAGCTTTTTGGTCTAAACTCCACTCGCCGTGTTTGGAGGAAGAAGAAGGATGAGTACAACCCCAAGAACACCATCCCAACTGTGAAGCATGGAGGTGGAAACATCATTCTTTGGGGATGCTTTTCTGCAAATGGGGACAGGACGACTGCACCGTATTGAGGGGAGGATGGATGGGGCCATGTATCGCGAGATCTTGGCCAACAACCTCCTTCCCTCAGTAAGAGCATTGAAGATGGGTCGTGGCTGGGTCTTCCAGCATGACAACGACCCGAAACACACAGCCAGGGCAACTAAGGAGTGGCTCCGTAAGAAGCAGCTCAAGGTCCTGGAGTGGCCTAGCCAGTCTCCAGACCTGAACCCAATAGAACATTTTTGGAGGGAGCTGAAAGTCCGTATTGCCCAGCGACAGCCCCGAAACCTGAAGGATCTGGAGAAGGTCTGTATGGAGGAGTGGGCCAAAATCCCTGCTGCAGTGTGTGCAAACCTGGTCAAGACCTACAGGAAACGTATGATCTCTGTAATTGCAAACAAAGGTTTCTCTACCAAATATTAAGTTCTGCTTTTCTGATGTATCAAATACTTATGTCATGCAATAAAATGCAAATTAATTACTTAAAAATCATACAATGTGATTTTCTGGATTTTTGTTTTAGATTCCGTCACTCACAGCTGAAGTGTACCTATGATAAAAATTACAGACCTCTACATGCTTTGTAAGTAGGAAAACCTGCAAAATCGTCAGTGTATCAAATACTTGTTCTCCCCACTGTATATAGCCTCGTTATTGTTATTTAATTGTGTTACTTTATATTTACATGTTTTTTTTATTGTATTTTTTTAAACTTTTTTTTGCAAATATTTTCTTACTTACTTAAAAAAACTTAACTCTGCATTGTTGGTTAAGGGCTTGTAAGTAAGCATTTCACGGTAAGGTCTACACCTGTTGTATTCGGCGCATGTGAGCAGTGGTCACCAACCTTTTCTGAGTCAAGATCAAAAGCAAAAAGCAAGTCCAAAAGCAGCCGAGATCTACTGCTCAGATTTTTATTTATTTTTATATGACTTAAAAAACATAAGTCTATGCAACATTAACCTATTTAAAACAGTTCTGTAGCAATGACGTTCGTGCAGTAGACTATAGGCCCAACGCATTATCACTGCATATTGGCTATGCTTGAATTGCAATGTTGTTGTTGTTCTCAGACCAATTAGAAATTATATATCAGAATTGTAGGTATATGATCACACTGGTAATAGATACTTTGTTGTATTACTTGTGAGGCACAGCTGAGTGAGCATGATCATTTGCTTTTTTTATTTTACTGGACTGATGGCCTGTATCTGATGGTCAGTCTGAGGGGAGGGAGGGAGCAGCGGTGAGGCTGCCTCTCACCCGACTCTCCGTCCCTACTCTCTCCATCCCAGAGTCTTCCAGCTGAAGGCGAAACTCAAGTCGCACTGCATTATTTCTGCCTCACGCACCAAATCATGATGTTACTGTTATGACCAGAGAACGTGATATATTCCTAAATATTACAAAAGACACAAGCCGCTAATAATAACAACGCAAGCCTATCGAAACACTTTGCTATACTCATTCATTGCAGCTGCAGTGCTGTTTGTAGCGTGAGTGGAAGTAGGGAGAATGTGCATTTTATAGCTTATAAAAGTGTTGAAGAAACTGTTGACAGTGCTGAACTTAAACATTAACTTACTTATAAAAACAGCAGCTCTTTGCTGTATTCATTGAGTCATTCTCTAGTCATGGTTTTAAAAGTTTTGAAATCTCACAGCATCAACTTTGTTGTGTGCTTGAGGCTTCTTTTTATAGTCTATGTCTTGAGGAAACTGTGCAGACAGGGTGATCTGAGCTATCTGATTGGCCAGCGGTAGACCTATAGGTGCACTTGATTTGCTCTCTGGGCCTGCCAGGTATGCAGAGTTCTACAATAAGACACATGAAATGGTTCAAAATTGGAACACTTTGCCTTCCCGGTGCTAAGGCTGCTGAATCAAGTGTACCTACCGAACGAAAAAAGTAGGAACGCAAAGGCTTTATCGTTGTTGTTTTTTACAGAAATGTTTGGTGATCAACTACGAATAACTTGGAGATCGCGATCGACCAGTTGGTGACCACTGCTATAGAGCCCAGACAAAGATCTGGTAGGTTTAAGGCAGAAGCTTAAAGTAAACAGTGTGCGTTCCCAGCTGCCCCGGCTGACTGGCTACGTGGCAGGGAGGACAGTGCCTGACAAGTTTATTCCGCTGACAGAGGAAGCAGTGAGCCCACAATCCCTCAGGCCTCAGAGAACACTGCTACAGCACCAGCCTAGAGATCCTGTACTGTGCCATGCAACAGGATCATTGTAGCGGGAAATAACTCTGGATGGTTGGGTTGGAGAATTATGCTAGTTTCAAAGAAGAACCTCCGTGCAGAAAATTTGGAATCAGGGTTTCTGCAAACATAACTGATAAGTCAAAGCCAAATCATGCATCGGAAATGTTCAACTAACATTCAAATGTATTGAAATGGGGATTACTATTCAAACACTCAGGTGAGCTTGGTTGAAGGAAAACCTTTCTATAGTCCCTGCCTCTTGTTTCCCAGTGGTAAAGTGCAGTGTAGAGTGACGTTGGTTAGTGAGTGGAGAGGAATCAACTTCACGTGTGTAAACCATGCTGGGAAGACCAGCCAAGCAGTCACAGCTAATCTAACCCCCCCCCCCCCACCCCCCCTTCTCCATCTCATACACCACTACTAACCCTCCTCATGCTCCTCACCCCCTCTTGTCCCCCTTGCCCCTCTCGCCCTCACAATACCTGAAACATGCTGAGAGGAGGCTGACCTTCCCTCTCCACACTGACACATTCTCCCAGGCCATAAAAGCAATAATGTAATACACAGGGAGAGGAGGAGGAGAGGAGTGGGAGTGGAGAGAATGGGACGGGAGAGGGAGGAGGGGGTGAGGAGGGGGAGGAAGGGGTGAGGAGAGGGAGGAGGGGGAGAGGAAGGGAGAGGAGAGGAGGAGGGGGATAGGAGGGGAGAGGAGGGGAGGAGGGGGAGGGGAGGGGAGGAGGGGGAGAGGAGGGGAGAGGAGGGGTTGAGGAGTGGAGAGGAGGGGGAGAGGAGTGGGAGAGCAGGGGAGGGGAGAGCAGGGGAGAGGAGGTGAGGGAAGAGCAGGGGAGAGGAGGGGAGGGTAGAGCAGGTGAGAGGAGGGGAGGGGAGGGGAGAGCAGGGGAGAGCAGGGGAGAGGAGGGGAGGGAAGAGCAGGGGAGAGGGCAGCGACCAGGTTTTAAATCCCAGAGGTCTCAGAGGTGGCTGGGCCAGGACCTGTTTCATGTTACACCCCCTGTGGTGCTGGCCACTTTAGAATCGTCATCACATTACCCTGCATTTAACAGGGGGCAAAGGCCAGAGGAGTGTGATACATTCAGTGTGAGTGTTTGAGTGTGTGAGTTTGTGCCTGCATGTGCCCACACGTGCATGTGTGTCACATTAACAGCCTGCAACTCAGCCACTCATAACACACACAGCACCGTCAGGGTTCAGACACAACAACAGCGGTTGCTGGCTGAGAGTCCTTAGCACCTCTGAATGTAATTTGCAAACCGAATGCGCTTCGATTTTACATGTACAAATGGTTAAAAATGTCGGCAGTCAGACCACTACAGAGGGTGGTCCCTAAAACACAGCACACTGAACGATCGGCAGATGAACGCTAGATCCACATTCGGTGTGATGTGTGCAAGCTTTTATAAGTCCACCTTTGGGTGACAATATGTGGGAAATCCTTGTGTCTTTGTGGATGTGCATTCTGTCTGTGTGTAGCAACTTCAGAGCACAGACCCAGAGTGGGTGATACAGTACAGAGGGGGACAGGGTGAGGGTGAGGCCATGAGGACACATCTGGAGCTGCAGTACCAGTCTAGAGGAGAGGCCTGAGAACAAAGAAACAAGGGTCCTTTGAAGAGCTTCTCCTCAGATGTCCTCCTGTCACATCTCTCTCATTCCCTCTGTCTCTCTCTGTCTCTCTCTGTCTCTCTCTCTCTCTCTCTCTCTCTCCCTCTCTCTCCCTCTCTCTCTCTCTCAACATCAGACCCACAACAACACCAGCAAATACATCACTCCTGTCCTCCACCTTTCTCCTCTCCCTCTCTCTTGCTCTCTTCCTTCCTTTCCTGCGTTACCCTCTGTTTTACCCCTCTCCTTCATGCATCTGCCTCCCCATCTGTTCCCTCCATTCCATAACGGTGGTGGTGGTGTGTGTTTGGACTGTGTTAATGTGTTCCATGCAGTTCCTCTGTTATGTGTGCTACACTACACCACACTACACCACACAGCCGTGAGGATGGAGAGCTGATAGCCACATCACCCCCAACCTGACCCCACTACAGTCAATATAGGGTGTTATATGATGATGCTACAGTATAGTACTCTGTCTAGAAGTACTCCTGTTGATGCATTGCTCTGCACCACTGGCCACTTGTCCAGTGCCCACCCACTCAAAACCTTCCCCCAAACGTCCTTTACCCCATTAATTCAAGTTTGGTCACAAAATGCGTTCATGCCCGCAGCACCAAGTCCCACAGCAGACCCCCAGAACTCGCCGTGGTTTAAGAAACAACAACAGATTTGGGAGTGGATGTTGTGTTAGAAACAGAGCACAAACACAACACTCCATCACCAGCGCTGCATTGTTTACAGGGCATGAGGACTCATTAGGAAACAGTCTTATCTGCAGGCCCATTAGTCCAATGAGCCGAGCTATAGCTATGAGGCAGAAACCAAGCTGGCCTTCTGTTTACACTCTGAGCCAGTACACCAGGGAAAACCACAGACGCCATAGGGACAGGGGCCAACATGTCTGCCCTGACTTCACTACAAGACCTTACTTTACTTTTACTTTGTATATTATTTTATATACTGTAGGTAGATGGGTGTTGGTCCACATGATATCCTGGACGTAACTCAGGAGAAAAGACGGAAGTAGAAAGCCAACGCAGCCTTTCTATTTCCTTCACAAGGCCTTCCCTCCCTCCTCCACCTCCCTCTTGTCAGTGCGGAGGAGAGCAGCTCTGTCCATCGCATTCCCTCAGAGATAGACTAACTGTCAATCCGGAAGAGGATGAGCCTTGGATCCCAACTAACAAGTCCCCTAGAGCGTATACAGACAAACAAACAAACAAACATGTTTGCATACACACACACCCTCCCCTGATTCCTTTTCACGCTTCCCCAGATAGCCTTTCTTCCAAATAGACATTGATTGGCCAAACCACAGTGCAATATGATTTCATTATGTTTGTCAAATAGATGATGCACTTGTTTCTCTTCATTATGCCACACGTCTGCCAACAGAAACACTTTGATCTTCCTGGTGCTCTGCCAGCAAGCAGTGGGCCGTGTTTGTGTGTGTGTATCTGTGTGTGTGTGTGTGTGTGTGTGTGTGTGTGTGTGTGTGTGTGTGTGTGTGTGTGTGTGTGTGTGTGTGTGTGTGTGTGTGTGTGTGTGTGTGTGTGTGTGTGTGTGTGTGTGTGTGTGTGTGTGTGTGTGTGCAGGTGTGATGTGCAGGCCCACCACAGTGCAGTGTATGCTCTGTACAGAGAGTGTGCTCCGAGGTTAACAGAGCTTGTGTCTTACCGTGATGCGCTCATCCCTGTCATTGATGTTGGTACCGTCTTTCCTCCATGAGATGGTGGGCTCAGGATGCCCACGGGGGGGTTGGCACTCCAGTACAGCAGGTTCACCCGCCGCCACCATCACATCCGCTGGGTTCTGTCTAAAGTCATCACGCAGTACTGTGGAACAGAAGAGAGGAGGGGTTAATGGCCTGTTAGCATTGCAGGTCGAAATGAAACAGAAAAAAATGTCACTAAATAAAATTCACTAATGCACCAATGGACTGTGAATGTAGGGTATACATGTAAAATATTCAAGACTATTATGACCAGACTCTAGATGTGCAAGGACAAAACTCTGAAGTCTGAGCAGAGGCAGTCAATCATGTCCATCACAGATAGATAAAGTCTTGAGGTAGCTGGACATGATATAATGCTATAGTGTAAAGTGGTCTCGGGGGCTGGGCCAAATCCCTGATGTGCTTTGGAGCTATAGGACTACCACCCTCTCTGTCTGATTAGACTAACTCTCTCCCACCTGCCTCTCCACTGTCACTCTCCACTCCAGCCCTGAGGGAACGTACAAGCACACGGGCAAACATTTGTATCACAATTCCATATACGACTCCCAGGAACTTTGTTTGAAGTGTGAGGTAAGCATGAACAAAATACAACCTCCCCAGTTAATGTTTGCCTACCATGTTTGCCCATCAAACACTTCAAGAGAGATAGGTGGATATTTCGCAAGAGCCATTAACAAGCTAGCTAGGTGGAAAACACACACTCAACATCTTCAAAGGTTTAAGGACCATTAGCGCAACGTCTCGATACATTATACATAGGGTTGCAAAGGGAGGGTATATTACTGGAAACTTTAGAAGTTTACCAGTTAACATATGCAAATTCTGGTATCATTCAAGGATTTAGCTCATTCAAGGGATGTAGCTCAGTTGGTAGTTTGCAACGCCAGGGTTGTGGGTTCAATTCCCACGGGGGGCCAGTATGAAAAATAAAAAAATAAATAATGTATGCACTCACTAACTGTAAGTCGCTCTGGATAAGAGCGTCTGCTAAATGACTAAAATGTAAATGTAAATGTAAATGATTTTATGTAATCTATCACAAGACAACTAGTGGCCCTTTTGGGTACTTCAGATTATCAAAGGTGTCTTTAATTATCTCTGGCCCTCTGTGTGGCCTTATCGCATGTAAAATATATGAAATAACTAAATAACATGATTTTCACCCCAAAAAGAATTATTACAAAGCTGTAAAACATTATCTTAAATATAAACCATCAACTTAGTGAATGCCGTTCGTGTTTAATATGACAGTTTCAGCATTAAATATCCTTTACTTTCACATTTTATTTATTTTACTATGTCAGTGTATTTGTTGTCAATGTTTCAGTCTCAAACTGGCGGCAGTAATTGGAAGAGTTGCAAGGTTAACTGAAAACAATGCCATTGTTGATTAGATGCTTTTTTCATTAATTAGGCTATTGTCTGTTGAACCATATGGTCTATCTACTAGAAATTCATGGACAATATGGACACAGACATAAAAATGAGTAGTCTATATGAATAAAATAAATAATAAGTTATTGAAGTATAAATTACCAAAGTTACGATAGATTGTCATAGATTTTCTGTTAATTATCAAATTTGCTGAAGATTCCTGTAACTTTGGTAAACTATTGGTAGCTTTCCAACCCTAATCACACAGCAATAACAGCCTGACACAATTACAGTGTATTGCTAGTTAGTGAATATACGGCTGTGAGAGTGATAATGGTATCATACGTTTATGTGAGGCTCGGTTTTGATTACAGAGACAATGAGTTTGTCAGGGAGCGAAGACAGCCCATCTGCTCCTGGTGATATTTAGAAACTGATTGGCTTGGAGAAGGGATGAACATACTGGTGTACTGGCCTAGCTAACAGAGGCCTAGAGAAGAGAAGAGAAGAGACGGGAAAAGAAGATAAGAGATGGGAAGAGAAGAGAAGAGATGGGAAGAGAAGAGAAAAGAAGAAAGGAAGAGAAGAGTAGAAGAAAAGAGAGCAGCTATTTCAAATCAAATAACATGTCATTTGTCACATGCGCCGAATACAACAGGTGTAGACCTTACCATGAAATGCTTACTTACAAGCACCTTAACCAGCAATGCAGTTCAATAAATAGAATTTAAAAAAATCAAATACACAATAAAATAACAATAACGAGGCTATATACAGTGGGTACCGGTACCGAGTTAATGTGCATGGGTACAGGTTAGTCGAGGTAATTTTACATGTAGGTAGGGGTAAAGTGAATATGCATAGATAATAAACAGCGAGTAGCAGCAGTGTAAATGTAAATAATCCGGGTGACCATTTAATTAATTGTTTGGCAGATTATGGCTTGGGGGTAGAAGCTGTTAAGGAGCCTTTTGGTCCTAGACTTGGCGCTCCGGTACCGCTTGCCGTGCGGTAGCAGAGAGAACAGTCTATGAATTGGGTGACTGGAGTCTTTGACAATTTTTTGGGCCTTCCTCTGACACCACCTAGTATATAGTTCCTGGATGGCAGGAAGCTTGGCCCCAGTGATGTACTGGGCCATACGCACTACCTTCTGTAGCGCCTTACGGTCAGATGCCGAGCAGTTGCCATACCAGGCGTTGATGCAACCGGTCAGGATGCTCTTGATGGTGCAGCTGTAGAAATGTTTGAGGATGTGGGGACCCATGCAAAATCTTTTCAGTCTCCTGAGGGGGGAAAGGTGTTGTCGTGCTCTCTTCATGACTGTCTTGGTGTGTTTGGACCATGATAGTTCATTGGTAATGTGGACACCAAGGAACTTGAAACTCTTGACCAACTCCACCACAGCCCCGTCGATATTAATGGGGGCCTGTTCGGCCCGCCTTTTCCTGTAGTCCACGATCAGCTCCTTGGTCTTGCTCACATCGAGGGAGAGGTTGTTGTCCTGGCACCACACTGCCAGGTCTCTGACCTCCTCCCTATAGGTTGTCTCATCGTTGTCGGTGATCAGGTCTACCACTGTTGTGTCGTCAGCAAACTTAATGATGGTGTTGGAGTCGTGTTTTGCCACGCAGTCGTTGGTGAACAGGGAGTACAGGAGGGGACTAAGCACGCACCCCTGAGAGGCCCCTGTGTTGAGGATCAGCGTGGCAGATGTTTTGTTGCCTACCCTTTCCACCTGGGGGCGACCCGTCAGGAAGTCCAGGATCCAGTTGCAGAGGGAGGTGTATAGTCCCAGGGTCCTTAGATTAGTGCTTTGTGGGCACTATGGTGTTGAAATCTGAGCTGTAGTCAATGAACAGCATTCTCACATAGGTGTTCATTTTGTCCAGGTGGGAAAGGGCAGTGTGGAGTGCGATTGAGATTGCGTCATCTGTGGATCTGTTGGGGCAGTATGCAAATTGGAGTGGGTCTAGGGTTTCCGGGATGATGGTGTTGATGTGAGCCATGACCAGCCTTTCAAAGCATTTCATAGCTACCGCCGTGAGTGCTACGGGGCAGTAATCAATTAGGCAGGTTACCTTGGCTTTCTTGGGCACAGGGACTATGGTGGTCTGCTTGAAACATATAGGTATTGCAGACTCGGTCAGGGAGATGTTGAAAATGTCAGCAAAGACACATGCCAATTGGTCCGTGCATGCTTTGAGTACACGTCCTGGTAATCAATCTGGCCCCGCGGCTTTGTGAATATTGACCTGTTTAAAGGTCTTGCTCACATCGGCTACGGAGAGCGTTATCACACAGTCGTCCGGAACAGCTGGTGCTCTCATGCATGCTTCAGTGTTGCTTGCCTCGAAGCGAGCATAAAAGGCATTTAGCTCGTCTGGTAGGCTCGCGTCACTTGGCAGCTCACGGCTGTGTTTCCCTTTGTAGTCCGTAAAAGTTTGCAAGCCCTGCCACATCCGACGAGCGTCAGAGCAAGCGTAGTAGGATCTCGGTGCACATGTTGACTGTAATCCATGGCTTCTGGTTGGGATATGTACGTACGGTCACTGTGGGGATGACGTCGTCGATACACTTATTGATGAAGCCGGTGACTGAGGTGGTATACTCCTCAATGCCATTGGATGAATCCCGGAACATATTCCAGTCAGTGCTAGCAAAACAGTCCTGTAGCGTAGCATCCGCGTCATCTGACCATTTCCGTATTGAGCGAGTCACTGGTACTTCCTGCTTTAGTTTTTGCTTGTAAACAGGAATCAGGAGGCTAGAGTTATGGTCAGATTTGCGAAATGGAGGGCGAGGGAGAGCTTTGCTTATGGCCTTATACAGCTCATTGAGTGCAGTCTTAGTGCCAGCATCGGTTTGTGGTGGTAAATAGATGGCTACGACTAATATAGAGGAGAACTCTCTTGGGAGATAGTGTGGCCTACAGCTTATCATGAGGTACTCTACCTCAGGCGAGCAATACCTCGAGACTTCTTTAATATTAGACATCGTGCACCAGCTGTTATTGACAAATAGACACACACCCCCGCCCCTCGTCTTACCAGACGTAGCTGCTCTGTCCTGCCGATGCATGGAAAACCCAGCAGCTCTATATTATCTGTGTCATCGTTCAGCCACAACTCGGTGAAACATAAGATATTACAGTTTTTAATGTCCCGTTGATAGGATAGTCTTAATCGTAGATCATCCTGTTTATTTTCCAATGATTGCACGTTGGCCAATAGTACGGATGGTAGTGGATGTTTACTCACTCGTCTACGAATTCTCACAAGGCACCCCGAACTCCGACCTCTTTTTCTCCGTCTTTTCTTAATTTGAATGACGGGGATTTGGGCCTGGTCTCGAGAAAGCAGTATATCCTTTGCGTCGGACTCGTTATAGAAAATATCTTTGTCCAGTTCGAGGTGAGTAATCGCTATTCTGATGTCCAGAAGCTCTTTTCGGTCATAAGAGACGGTAGCAGCAGCATTATGTAGAAAATAAGTTACAAACAATGCGAAAAAACTAACAAAATAGCACAGTTGGTTAGGAGCCCGTAAAACGGCAGCCACCCCCTCCGGCACCATTTCAGCCCAGTCCAGGCTGTTTCAGTCAATCTCAGAGTCCCAGTGATTGTCTTCCCAGCCCGTTCTGGATGAATGTACAGCGAGTTAGCGACTACACCCTGAGGGACATCAGGCTCTCATAAATTGGAGAAATTCTCATCCCTTCTCC